AAATGTCACGCATTTTACTTTGAACTCAGTTCATAATAAACTTTCTTATTTCGCTAAAAATATTTAATACTACGTCCTAAATATTTCTAAATATTAAGAATTAGTTGACCAATAATTCCAGAAAACTCATAAAAATCGGACCGGAAAGTGACCCGGCCAAAATGACCGGGTCATGGGTCAACTGGACATGGGTGGTCAACCTAATTAAAGCTACAAAACCGGTCAAAATTTATATAAACTTAAACATATATATATAATTATATATAAAGCTAAATTTAAAAACAACTATGTAAACTTTTTCCATCATTTGCAATGGAACCAAATATTCATTATTTTTTGCTTGAAAATATGATGGAATAAAGCAAAATGGCTCACTAAACTGTCTGCGCTACTTTATTATCAAGCAGCAGTCAGTCCATGCAATTTTGGATGCGATTTTCACTATGGGTCATCCGGAAACAGTCTCTCTATGCTTTAGTACAGGGGTAAGACTGCGTACATCCGACCCCCCCTTACCCCACCGTAGGTGGGAGCCTTTGCGCCACTGGGGTAAATGAAAATGAAAATGAAAATGATGAAATGATTCTTAACAATCAACTAATGATAAAATTAGGTAAGCATTTACATCACTTATATTATTTCAAATATAATTTTGGTCTCATTAGACTTTAGAATAAATGATGTGATTTGTCATTTGTATTGTATTGTAATATAATTTGATATAAATTTCTTTCTTAAATAAATATAGGGAAAATAACTTTAAATAATACCAACTATCTTCCATGAACCAAGAATAATACCAACTTTAGAAATAACTTTTAATAATACCAACTATTTGAATATCTATCAAAAGTTATATATAGCAAATTTTCACTAAAAAATCATTTATTCAATTCATCAAAAACTAATACCAAAATATCAAATAAGTGACCGTATTTTGAAATATCAATTATTTGATGATATTTGATGATTTGATCTTAGTATTTGATGTATTAAATGGCTGAATTTTTTATAGAAAAGTGTCTCTATTTTACTTTTGGTTCACATTGAGATAGTTGATATTATTAAAAGTTATTTCTAAAGTATGTATTATTATTGGTTCATTGAAGATAGTTGGTATTATTTAAAGTTATTTTCCCAAAAATAAATATGTCGCATATTTTTTCATTTAGGATACGGCGTATTAAAGTTGCAATTCATTTGGTTTAAAAATACTTAGAAGCAAAATAATATGAAAAACCCCTACGAAACCGGGTTTTAGTGGGTTTTTCTGGGTTAACCGGGTTTCGGTCATTTCCGGGTTTTGGTCATCATCGGTTTCTGGGACACCCCAGCCGGTCCGGGTTGTTTTTCAAACATAGCTCAAAGCCAACAATTATTGAGTACTAGGTGCAAAATGTGATATTCTTGTAAGTGTAAAAATTAAGGACACACAAAAATTGACTTCTACCACATAAGTCTTGTTAAGATAAAGATAGGGACATAAGGTAACTCTTGCAATTATTAAAATAAAATTATGTGATTGATATTAAATTAATACTCCGTAAAATGTAATTAAAATAGAATAATGTTGAACCACGTAAATACTACCAAATGTAAAATTAGTAAACTTAGTGAGTGATGAACTGATGATTCGATCTTTCAATCCCATAAAAAACTGGTCTTCTAGAATCACAATACTCTCGATGAACCATGCTAGCCTTGTATGTGAACTACGCACGTGAAATTTGTTACTAGCCCATCCTTCAATTTGAAAAAAAAAAAAAAGATTTTTAGTTCATCAAGATAAATTATATAAAAAATTATTTTGAATCTTTTTGTAATAATAGCCTAGTGTATCTCTATATCCTCATAAGTCATACCTACGCCATTGGACTAGGGCTGGACTCGGGCCGGGCGGCCCGACCCGGGACCGAACCGGCCCGGTCACTGTTTGGCCCGGCCCGGCCCGTGGCCCGGTGGGTCCACCGGTTCGGTTTGGCCCGGCCCGGGTGCTGGGCGGTCCGGGCTCGGGCCCAGGTTTTGGTGAACCGGCCCGGCCGGTTCGGGCCCGGTCCGGGCCGGATTTTAATTTTTTTTTTTGAAATTTTTTTAAGTTTTAGGTTGGATTAGGTATTTTGGGCCATTTGAGGTGGTTTGGGATGGTTTGGGGTTGAGGGGGAGGGGTAGGGGATTAAATAGGAGAACAAAAAAAATTGGGCCGGTTCGGCCCGGCCCGGCCCGGTTTGGCCCGGAACCGGAACCGGCCACCGGCGGTTCGGGCTCGGGCCTCCCCTTTCCTGGCCCGAGGCCCGGCCGGGCCCAGGCCCGAACCGGGCCCGAACCGGCCCGAGTCCAGCCCTACATTGGACACAATGAAATGTTCATTTTAGACCAAGTAGCAGGATCGGTCCCTTTGGAGGACAGTGTGAGGCCAAGCATATCAACACAAGCTTTGAATTTTAATATAGTCCAAAAATTAATTAAATTACTCACGTGTAAAAAACTAAGCCAAAAATTTGCTACTACTTTTTATTAACTTATATGTTTTTTTATTAATTTGCTTTTGATTCTTGTTTACTTTATGTTTGTATTGATTTATTTTATCTACTTTGATTGGTGTTTAATTTAAGTTTACATTTATTTATTTATATATTATTTATGTATTTATTTATTTATTTATATCAATATGCGTTGTTTTTGGATGTTGATGAAGTCTTCATGTGTTTCGATAACCGAATGAACTATGATTTTGGTACTGCTATGATGATAAGTTTTCAGTTTATGTTATAAAGTCTACCACGAATACACACTCTTGAGTTTTAAAAAGGGATGACTCGATATGAGATCCCAAAGAAGTGAATGAAAACATGGCAAACCATGAATAATACGGAGTATTAAAAGTCACTTGAAAGAAAGGTAAAGCGAAAGGTAGTTTAAATTTTTAGAATGTTAAAATTTGAACTTACATTTTAAGCTGGGGGTTCAACACTTCAACTGTTCAATATAAGGGTTCCTAACGAATACGCTCTTAAGTACATAATAATTAAATAGTAGAATTTTTAATTATTAAGTGTAAATATTATCCGTATATAATTTTAACTAATTAATGATCAGTTCGTATACCATGCAACCGTCCCACGGTGCGCATGGTATACCTGGGAGAGTGAAGAAGCAATTCGTACATTTTGGCTTTGTTATTTTTTATTTCTCTTTTTTTTTTAAAAAATGTTAATAATTTTTTTATTTTTGATCTGATTTTTATAACATTTATATCAAAATTTTTTATTTTTCATGATCTTTCAAATGAGACCAATATTGCCTATGTAATTTTAACATATTAACATTTACGTGTAAAAATATGTAACTTTATGTGTTAAAATATGTAACTCACGTTCAGTCAGGCCAAATGCAACTCGTGTGTATAAATATGTAACTCTACGTGTAAAAATATGTAACTTTACTTAAAAAAATTTGTAACTCGCGTTCAGACAGGTCAAATGCAACTCGTGTGTATAAATATGTAACTCGTGTGTATAAATATGTAACTTTACGTGTAAAAATATGTAACTTCACGTGTAAATATATGTAACTCGCGTTCAGGCAAGTCAAATGTAACTCGTGTGTATATATATGTAACTCGCGTGTATAAATTTGTAACTTTACGTGTAAAAATATGTAACTTCACATATAAAAATATGTAACTCACATGTATAAATACCTAATACAATAAATTTTTTATATACACAATTTTAAGATAAATTGTGATTCACACAATTATTTTTCTGTATTAAATTTAGTTTAGTTTTCCTTATAATCCAATACACATTAATATAATAGTTTGATAATTTCTTAAAATTACATAAGCAATATTAGTCTCATTTGAAAGATCATGAAAAATAAAAAATGTTGATATAAATTTTATAAAAATCGGATCAAAAATTAAAAAGTTATTACCATTTTTTAAAAACAAAGGATAAAAATAAAGAAACGAGGCCTCATCAATACTCTGTCGTTTTGCAACCGGGCGCACCATCCTCATGGTGCCCCGGTTGCACGATATAATTTGCGATTAATGATATAGATGTAAAAGTATTTGGCCATGGAACTGTGTTAGAGAAACTGTGGCCTTTGGCAATTGGCAATCTCTTTTACCAAAATAGATTGTCACTTCATCATTGATAAAATTCAAGAAAGAAAAAATCGCATAACCTTTATTCTGTTTCACCAACAACTTGTGCAGGAGGACAAATTTTTCCTCAAAATTGTTTCCTTCTCTCCTTTTATAGCCGTTATATTATATCAATGTTTGGGTAATAGCTTCTTCGCTTCAAATCCTTCAATCCGTTGTTTTCCCAAATGAAAACGCTGCATTTTGCAACGGTTAGGTTCGAATCCGCCAAAAAACAAACATGGCCAATGTCTCTCACGTGTGTGAGATAGTAGTACCTCGATCCCGTAATGTCAAATACATATGAATTTGGTGAATTTTATGAAAAAAACTAATAAAGTCATTGTTTTACAAATTTAACATCTAAAAAGTGAGAGAAAGATGGGTTCACAAAAAGTGAAGGATGAAATAATATATAAAGGGATAAAGTGAGAAAGTAAAGTTAGTAAAATCCAATTTAGGAAAGTTAACAAATTTTTTGTGCAACTCAAAAATGAAAGTATCTTACAAAATGGGACAATTAGTGTAACTTCTTCCTGATTTATGTTCTGTCATTGATTATCTCCAAAACTAAAAGTTGCAATGTGAGTTCCTTTGTCATAATCCTTGTAAAATAATTCAACATTTACAATTTATGTTGGAGTTTACCCCTACTATTAAATCATGTTTACTAATTGTGTTAATGATAAACGCTACTATCCTGGAAGGCTGGAACTCCCCGGAAGATAGTTCCCTTACAGATAGACAACAATATTACTCGCGAGGTGTTATCATTTGGTAATGTGTTGTCACTTGTCTTGTCAATACAAATTCTACTTCAATGTAGCCAAATTGACATTGAAACATGACACTTTCTCAGTGGGTATATAACTGCGTATTTTGAGATAATATAAGCGCGTACATTTCATCATCTCGGCTATTTGGGGGGGGGGGGGGGGGGATACAGTAATACACAATGCCAGATTGCCAGCAAAATAGCACACTAATTTGTATTTAACCATTCAACATTACCGTCTACAACAAACCCAATCTAGTTAAGGTTGGGCAACATTTGTGATAGGGGTCAATATAATGGGTACATCGAAAATGAGCCTACTTATATGGGAAAAATCAAACATATATACTCAAAAAAAAATCTGTACATTTGTTGACTTAGTTCATAAATTTGCGGCAGTTGGGAGCTCTACATAGGCAGGGTACTCTTTTCTCATCATGCTCATCAGGATCAAACAAGTAATCATACCTGTTAGACAAAAAAAATGGATGCAAAGATATTTAACTAAAACTGAAATTGGACATACATTTCAACCCACTAACAAGTACAAAGAGAGTGGAGAGATAGACAGGGAGAGAGAGAGTTAATACGTTAATTCATCTCCAGCTGAAACATTAGCCCTGGCAATGAGAACGATTCGGCTATCCTCTTCGCCTACACTAATAATCCTTGCATAGCAGTTGGGCATGCACTGCATTTTGAAACCAAAAAATATGCATTATTGATCACTCACTTCAGATAGTTAAATGTGAAACTCTACTTGGAAATACGACATTCACATAAAAACAAACAACTAAAAACAAAATGGACGTTGATCAGAATTTATATGCATAGTACTTTGTAACCAGCCTTTTGTGATAATAAGAGAGCTTACTGAATGATTAATTAGGCGAGCAATATTTCCTTTGTTGGTGGCATCAATGACTACTTCATCACTGATTTTGAATAGCTGATGGAGACAATTAAAGTATTTCAAGTAAGAAACTAAAGCAGATAAAACACTCACAAAACAAATGAATACTGCTCAATATAGAAATGGTCCTTCTAAGACATATTTCAGGCACTCGGATATTGTATGTTTCCTTATCTTGGAGTTTGTGGAGGGAAAATGATGTGGTTAGAGAATCAAATTCGATTATATTTGGTTAGTTTCTCCGTATGACAAATGGTATTTAAATTCACAGCTCAAGATCATGGTTCATGTCTTATAGCTTATTTTGCAGGTGCAGACAGTCCAGTCATAATCGCATGCAAATTAAGACAAAGGAAAAGCATAACTCACGTAACAATCTTTGCCTTCACGTTGGTACCTCGCCTCCCTCAGGTCAACAACACTGCGCCTCACTTTCTCTCCACGATATTCAAATACCTAAAGCAAGAACTTGATAAATTAATACATAGGAGCAATGGAATGACAAAAATGACTAGATAAAAAACATTTCAAACAAAAATATAGTAATGGAAATGTTTAATTGCATAATTACAATTCCATAATATGTAAATTTGTATACCATTTCTCCTTCGAGAATGTTTCTTCGAGCAAAAACACCCCATCCATGTATCCCGGATTTACCAAAACAGACCCGGAGATTTTCAGATTTCTGTCATAATAAGTAACTTTAGATGTCACACTCTAATCACAACACTACCATGTAGCTGAAGTTAATTTCTTGCTTACAATCAACCAATAACGATGAAAAAACACTTGCCTGTAGATGACTAAGGCGCTCTATGAATGTTGAAAAGCCCTTGCAATCTGCTACTTCCTGCAAAAGGATAGATAAATGGTGTTGGTTGAACTCCCTTGCCAAATACCAAATTATGTGATAGGCTGATAGCTGTTTAGGCAATAATGGAAAAGGCAAACATTCAGAGAAAATGTTTCATACACTGCGTGAAGTTAAAAAATCTATCTCATCCAATGGATGATGCCTTGGCCCCATAAGTCGATGAAATACTGCCTGTTGTTCATCCCTCTATCACTCAAAAAAGAACTGTGGAGATCAGAAACTTGAACTACCAGATCATAAATGATAATTAGATAGCAATTGAAATAGCAAAAGCGCCCACCAAAAGTGCAATACCTTCTTCTTCCAAGACCTTTTGAAGATGCGACACCTTGCAGCAGAAAAAGGATCAAATTCAGTGGTCTCTTGATCTGATGTATCTGGAAGTTCAAGATGCTTAGATGAAATAAGTCTTGAACCCCTCATATTATGTTCTTCATTCTGTTTCTGCAGCACATTCCCAGTAGAGAATACCCCCAAGGGGGTTCTCATTACTACAACATTGTCTGCATCTGGGGTCCTGCGATGCATAAAAATAAGTCATTAAACTAATAACCAATAGAACAAATATAGGACCTTTTACACCTCAATAGATGTATTTTGTGGAACATTAAATTTTACATCCAACACAAACAAATATAACATGATCAGGGGTATTAGTAGAGAGGAAATATGAAATCTGATGTATTTTTAATTTTAGAAAAAAACAACATATTTCTTGAAAGGAAGAAATAGAGCTAACACGGAAAAGTTTCAGGAGTTCGAACTGTACTCCCAAAAGCTATCTGGGAATAAGTAATGTGTAACCATAATAAAGTAAGTAGATATAGGAGGATAGTGAATAAGAGGAATAGTGTGCACCTATGGATGGCACAATATGATACCCATTTTGTTAGCTGCAATCCATTCTCGTCAAAGCACTTCAACTGAAATTCATAATTATGTCAATTTAATTTTAGAACTTCAATTCGAGAGCAATTCTTTACAGAATATGGTAATGAAAAACGATGACCAACTTACTTCCACATGGTATCCAGCTCTGAGAGCACACATTGCATGAAATGAAGTGGAGCACTTGCAGCATTGTGTACAGGAACCATGACTTTGTTCACATATTGTGCATATCTGCAAATTTGTAAAAATAATAGCATATGGATAGTCTAAGCCTGATCACTTCAACAAGAATCAATGAAAATATTCGATATCAAAGTACTCCATAATTAATAAAATCTTAGAAACCAGTAAGCTACTGAGGAATTTGACCAATCAAGTGCCACCATAATTTCCCTTATCCAACCTCAAAGAATATCACTATTCCAATCAATCATGCTGAGTTTCTTGTATTCAAATGATAGTTCACATCAACGTAAAACACCATAAGAGACTACAAGATCATATTATTCTTTTCCAAAGAATGCATTATTCTCAATAAAGAAGGAACTACCTTAACAAAGGAATCTGGAGGAATCCTAAGAATGCCACTGGCAGGCTCCATTTTCTGCACACTTAAGAAGGCAACCTCAGGTCGAAACCAAGCACAAGAAACATGAACCCATAAGTTGTCAAGATCAGTTGGCTTAAGCGCACCCCCTACAAAAACCGTATCCAGTAAATGCAAGATTAAAAATCTCGTAAACTGTTGAGAGCACTAAACACTTACCTTTTATTGGACAAAGACAACATTCCCTTTCAATATCAGGGGTTTCACATGCTCGGCAGACCCACGAAGCAAAATCTTGAACATCAGTTGCTCCATAGCATTCTTGATGGACAGCTATTTGACACCTTAAAGAAAATAGAAAAAGAGAAGAAAAAACTGAGGCCATGAGTGAACAGAGTAATATCCAAATCCCATTCAAGGAATTGCATAGTAATATACATTTCACCTAACATCAAATAATTCATAAGACATGTCTTGAGGTACCTGTTGCATATAATTATCTTGTTATAATCCCAATCTTCAACCCATCTACAAATAGCACAACGCTCTGAAGTCCACTTCGCATTAACAGGTGTATACTTCTCTGTCATACAGAAAGGCAGCAGTATTAGACTATTAACAGGTGTATAATCTTAGTACTTTTAAAGGACATAAAGACAGTTGCCTATACCAACATGAACCAAAAAAATGCATCATAGAAGCACTATTACCATGCAGAAAAGCTAACAATTGCGGAAGATCTAACTTCAATGAAGAAACGCTATGGTCCAATATCTGCATTATCAAAGGGTATGATTACAAAATAAGAATTTAAACACTATTATATTTACGCTAATATCATAGGAGGAACATGATAAAAGTACAGTTGCAATAGTATAATAAATAATGCGGAGAAGAAGTTGAATGCTTTAAAGTTCAATATATGTACAAACCCATTTTTCAAGAGTTATCATAGATCCCTTCACTTTAACACTGTGCTTCCATTTTTTTGCTCTGGATCCTGCATGTCGTTCCCATTCATTAAGTGTTTGTTTCCTTGTCCCACATGAACCACACTTGCACTGTACTCTGATACAATGAGCAATGAAGGTCATTTTGTGTTATCCAATATTCCAATTTGACAAATACTGCTACATTGGAGCACCACAAATCCAGAATACTAATTAAATCAAAAGGGGTTTTTCAACAAAATGATCATCTTTGGAAGAACTATAAAGCATTTTTTCTCAGACCCAAGCCTTGTGGGGATCTGGGGATGCTTCATGCACCGGGCTGCACTTTTATAAAGCATGTTTTCCTGTACGGTGGTGTTAAAGAGTAAACAATTTTGATGCTATGCAAGATCACAATCGGAAACATCCACATAACATGTGAAAGTTATAGAAAACTAATAACATGGTTGGTTAATTCTGAAGCTTACAAATGAAGATTTGGGAGATAAATTCCTTCCATTCTCATGCAGACAACTTCAACCTTTCCAGGTGACTCTGTTTGTTTGTACTCCCTGGGGCTGCTTGAAAGGCTTCCAAAAAAATTGAAGATCAATTCAAGTCAGAAAGTGAAGTAGTAAATAGAGCTTAGGCAAAAAAAAAAAAACTGCAGAGCATTAATCATATCGACAAAGGTACCTGGCTTTTTGTTTACTTTGTTCCAAGCCCACAGAAGTCTGACTACATTTAAGTTTGCATTCAGGACAGAAATAATCTGTGCTCGACAGATCCTGCAATGCCAAATAGCTTTAATATGTCTACCATATATATACATGCATCCAAGTATGAACGGAAATAGGCATATTAGCACAATGAAATTTTACATATCAAAATGTGCAGACCTTAAAACCATTGCTGGAAATACCGGTGCACTCAGCGTGCATCCAAATATTGCAACCATCACAACATACCTAATACAGCATGTGGCCAAACAGAACAATAATGGTTCACATTTACCATCTTTGTATTTGAAATAAAAAATGGGAATAAATATGTAAACATCTCACCCAGTCCCCACCATCAGAGTGATGCCAAATTTTCTTGCAGATTCCACAATATTGCTTTGACCTCCTTAGCTATAAAAGAAAAACAGTTCCCAAACACAAAGATAGTATTGACAGTTGCCAATTACGAAAATAATAAGGGAAAATATATCTGTTGTAAAATTTCACCTTAATACAGTGTGCACAAAGAAATTGCACTTGAGCACCTTTGTCTTTAGATTTCTTCATTGTTCTGCATGGCAGAACTAAACCACAGCTTCGACAAGATTGAGTTTCTTTCCTCTTAGATGCATCCTGCAGAGATTAAGCTTTTATTTTGAAACTTTTTAAGAAATGTTTTTCCAATAGTTTTGCCAAAAAGGAAAAATTCCAAGTAATTAATATGAGAGTAGGTCTGCACTCTTGTTCGCATCTTTCAAACTTAGTGTATAAAATTACAAAACTCTTCAGAACTCCTTCTAGTACCCACTACAGAGATAATCTCCAACACTTGCCTTGGGAGAGGAACAACACTCTAGTTCCTGATTGGATCCTGTGTCCTCTGCAACCTCTGATTGGTTTGCTTGTGATGGTGTCCCTTGCACATTTTCAGAACCTCTAGTTAAGTGGCCCTGGGAAGCCAAAACTCCCTCTTCTATTGCTTCCTGGAAATCAGCTTGCTTGCTGCCAAACAAGTTAGTCTGTCCCTGAAACCTGTGCAGAAAATGCTGATGACCACATCAACTGAATTTAAAAAATCCAGATGATATATAATGCGAAAAATTGAATTTACCTCTCCATGTACTCTTGAAAAGGAAAGATCATTCCAGATTTTATCCATCCATAATCCTACATAAATACAGCAACCTTAAATGATATTAGCTTATCCTAGCACATTGTTTGTAGCTCTAAATAATATAAACCCCCACACTGTCTTTTATTTCTCTTAGACTATTAGAGGCTTTAGAGCAGTTAAGGAGGTGCAAAAAATAACAAGTAAGCAAAAGTTTACAGTTTACCCTTTGTCTATTTCTTGAGTACCCATAGAACATCACACAAACTGCATTTGGAACACAAGCCCTGAGAACAGAGTTAGGTGCTTGCCATAGTGGATCAATGATAATAGCAGGCCAAGCAGGATATTTCTTTCCGCATTTCGCCCAGACTATATCACCCAAAACAAAGTTTGCTGGCTCATAAAAATCATTCTTTTCAGCCTTCCCCTTTGTGTGTTTCTCGAACCTTGCAAATCCTGTCTTAACCTTTGGTTGAGACTCAACAAATGAAGAAACCCCACATCCACTAACAGATGACAAGGAACTTTTTGAACTTGAATACACTATATTGTGAAAATCTGTGTGACTTGTATAGCCATCCCCTCCTTCCTCGTGACTACCAACTGATTTTGTCTTAGGCACGTGCTCAAAGCTAAAGTTTTTGTCTTCTTTTTGCTCCATATTGGCGGTAGGATTTACGTTGTTAACACAGAGCTCTTCATCTTCTGCTCCACATCGTTCTTCCTTCCATGAGTGCAGAACTGAATCATTGAATTTAGAAGGAAGCATCTGAACACGCCCCCTGGAGGACTTGAAAAGAGGGGCTTTATTTACCTCTAACCCCTTCTTCATACCTGGCAACAGTTGAGCTGCGTCACAAGTCATCATATTCGATCCAGCTTCCCCATCATAGGTGGAACCCCCTCTGCAACCTAAACCAGATAAACAGGCGCTGCAATCCTCGAACTCCTCCTTGGTTAGACCTGCGACAAGCTCATTGGTTCTCAGTCTTTTCGGTGAAAACATATCATCGTTTTCCGCCACTTTGCACCGTTTCAGCTTCGGCATTCCGATTTTTGTGATTTGATTCACAACCATAGCTTCATTCTAGGACGAGATTAATCACACAATGCGTGCGCACGGAGTGAATCTCACAAACTACATATCGCGTAATTGCGTATAAACCGAAATCAGAACCCTAAAACTTTCCGGCAGACAAATCACCATAGGAAAATTATTTCTCTCGTTTTCACGAAAATCTCGAGACACGTCAAACTGTAAAATTCACTTCAATTCTGATCCGAACCCTACGAGTCTGAATCTCGAAGCAGCGACAGCTAGGAAACAGGGAATAAATAGTAAAATAAAGACGCATTAATCGAAAATTGTCGAACAAAAGGAAAAACAGACGAACAGAAACCGAAACAATTTTGGCATCTATGTCTAGGTGAATTTGTGATCCTTCTCCAAAAGTAGACGAGAAAGCCAATAAAAGATTGAAAATTTTGAAACCTACGAATACAATTTGTTGGAACGAAGAGACCAGATCGACGCTCTACCCTCTCTACTCTGTAGATGCCTTCCGAGTTTAGATACAAGTAATTTTCTGTATGTATAGGTTCAATCCTTATTTATATTTTATTTAATTTATATTTTATGGAAGACCTAGATTGCTGCGAAATTCGAAACTGAAATTAAATTTGGGTGGGAGTCCGCGGGAGCAGAAAATTGGTTGGACCCCTCTACGGGAAGGCTTGACAATGGCGGGATTCGGGTCTAATTCATTTGGATTGATCTAATCCAAGATCTAGGGGTGTTTTAAATGTTTTAAGTTGATTTTAGAATCAGCTTTTTAGAAACTACACATTTTTGTGTATACTTTTGTATATAGAGTTATTTGTGAACAGACAATTTTGTGTGCGTGAGACATACGAGTGTACAAAACGTGTACAACAAAATATGTACACCAAGCATTTTTCTTCTAAAAAGATGATTCTAATTTTGTTTCTATTTTTTTAAATATATCGAAAAAGAAAGGCAAACAAAAAACAAGACGATTAAAATCTAATTTTTACTAAACCATTAGAACCTCAAGAAGAGTAATTTTTATCCATGTAAGGGCCTCCTGAAAAATAGTGAGTCCCGAAGCCGAAGCATGAGCTACATTGACTAACACACATCATCGCTTCTATTACCTTCTTGAAAAGTGTGTTGGACCGTGACGAACCTTTCATCTCCAAGAAGCTCCTGACTAAATTAAAAGGAGTATAAGCAAAATCAATTTCAAATATCCCCTTAAATAAAAAGTACATCTCAATATATGATGACTACATCCCATGAGGACCTCTTTACTTTAGACTTACATTTTAAAACTAAAAAAATGAAAACCAAACTTCACAAAAAGAACCAAATCAAACTCGAAATGACTTGAATAGGACTCAAAGGTGGACCTCACCATGAATCAATTTAAAGTCGGTTTTTGAGGTTTAAAATCAGATCGAACCAAACCGGCTTTTGTTAAGTAACATTTATGGCTTTATTTATTGCCCAGCTAAATTAAGTAATAAAATGATTCCAAGATACTAATAACAATTTTTTGATGCAATTTAGTGGCTGGTTAGCGCAAAGTTTTATTAAAATTTTCACTCATGTTCGATTCCCGCATACTCCTAATTCTTTTCATTTGAATTTTGTAAAGCCTTTGAAAACTTTTCATGTGAACTATAAAATCCAATCTAACAATATTCCAGTTAGTATCCTTAAGAGTTAATTACCCTACCTATGATCAAAACTTCTTCACTTTCTCGGTCTATGACCTAACTAGTTTTTTACCAAAATAATACTAAAATTCATATTATTTAATTGAAATTCGCCATTAATAATTAATAACTAATTTAGGTGGACAAATATACCATTTAGTTTCCACCTATAAAACCCTAACTTCCTACCCATTTTCTACAACCGTAGCTACAACCTCCCACCACCCAGCCGCCCCACCGTGCGGTCGCGCTACCGTCCAACCGCCCTGCTGTCGTCTAGTCGATGCGTTGCCATCCAGCCGCCACCCACCGTACAACGTCGCCGCCTTCCATACAAATCGGATTTGGGAGGCTGGGAGCACTACGTGGCTTGCTGGGCCAGTTCTCCGCCATACCTACGTCCCAAAGCACCGCCCGACGTCGATCTGCTGCTCGCCGCCCAGCCGCCACTCCCCATCGTCGCCCAGCCGCCACTCCTCATCGCCATCCAGCCGCCGCTCCTCATTGCTGTCCTAGGTCAGACCTGCGCGCACCACCCCCGACCTCTGCGCTGCCATCCTAGGTCGTGCACACCGCCTCTCATCCACCCCCAACCTCCGCCCCGATGCATACGTGCAGACGCCGCCACCCAGCCATGCACCTTCGTTGAGTTCGTTCCCTTACAACCAATTTCATCATCCAACAGCATGGAGGCTCTCCAACTCACCCTCGTTGTAGCCCATTCGTCCGCCTCATTCTTCTGCTTTTTTATTTTTTGAGATTAGGTTTTATTGAATTTAGGGTTTGTGAGCATTATATATGAGTATTGAATAAATGCAGTGAACATTTCAACGAGTATTGAGTATGTGCAGTGAATATATATGGTAATAGACATGTTGTACATGACAGTGAATAAATGCATTAATAATTTAGTTGTGCAGTAATTATGACCAGTATTGCTGTTACACAAAGCAGTAATATCATCATGAAATGCAATATATTTAATTCAACGTAAAATAATAAAATTATTAAATCTAAAAAAAACTAAAAATAAATTCCTCAAGTAAATGAGAAGAGAATTAATTTTGGCGGAAGTGCAGTGATTATTACCGGATGTGCAGTAAAGCTGTGCATTATTGTCATGCATTAACGGCAATATAAAGTGCAGTAATTTTAATTGGACGAAATTAGTGAAAATGCACATATTTTAAATAAGGGTATTTTTGTCATTTAACCTTTAAATGCAAACGAGATTTATTTATTTATTTGGATTTTCGATCATAGATAAGTATAAAAACTAGTTATGTCATAGATTGAGAAACTCATTGAGTTTTAGTCATATTCTAATAAATTTCCCTATCCTTAATTTGTGTTAATCTACTGTCTGTATGGTAAGTGTAAAAACTTGAAGTCTATTACTCCCTCCGCCCCCTTAAGTTTGTTCTGTTTTACCTTTTTCGTCTGTCCCATTAAGTTTGTCCCATTCTCTGTACCATATTTGGGTGGTTACAATTTATTCTTACTTTATTCGCAATTTATCATCTCAATATCAACCACATAATTCTACTTTTTCTTAAAAGTTGTGTCACACCCTTTTGTCCCAAACATAGTGGGACGGATGTAGTATTTCTATTCTCACCTCTACTCCTTATCGTGTCAAAATTTCTTCTCCCCTTATCTTTTCCCTTTATCTTCTAAAAAAAAGATGACACCCCATCCCTGAGGGCCCCCAACACCGACCGGACAGCACGATGGGAGGATGTAAGTTGGACTATAATCACAACCTGATAGATAGAGAGTGAGACTCTGTCCCCGGTACTTGCAGAGACCCTATGCATTTTTCAGCATAGTAACCCCTTATCGCAGTTGCCGTGAATCGAACTCGAGACCTAACTCTTGTGGCACTCCTCGCTACCAGTTGAGCTACGCCCACCGGTTTCTCCTTTTATCTTCTCAATTTTGAATGAGACTTTAATTATATATGTCAAATATGCTCTATTTATCTTTAAAACACTATACTTTTGTTATTTTTTCTTCCGCTTCAAGCGTTTTATATATTTTTTAAGTTTTATACTCGTATTCAAACTCTTTTCACAATGTTTTAAAAAAATTGCCGACTTTACTATGAACTCATGTAGTTAAAACTGTGTTGAGTTTTAAGCGTTTTATATCACCTATAAAAAAACGTTTTATATCAAAGATATCATCAAGTTCTCCACTCGTATACAGACTTCATTTTTTCAAAATATTACAGGATATATGTGTATTACTTAAAATTAAAAATTATTGTCGGGTTGACTATCAATCGAACCATATGCAACTAAAATATGAAATTTTACTTGTTTAAAAAAAGGATGACACCCCATCCCTGAGGGCCCCCCAACACTGACCGGACGGCACAATGGGAGAATGTAAATTGGACTATAATCACAATCTGACAGATAAAGAGTGGAGCTCCGTCCCCGGTACTTGCAGAGCCTATGCATTTTTAGCATAGTAACCTTTCATCATAGTTGTCGGGATTTGAACCCGGGACTTAACCCTTGTGGCACTCCCTCGCTACCAGTTGAGCTATGCCCACCGGTACACATTAATCATAATATTACTGCTAATATTTGATTGTTAGATTTTCTAGTGTTATTAAACTAATAATTTATGTTATATGTAATACGAATTTCCTCTTTAAATGTAATTATATTTGTAATTTAGTTTATTTACAAAAATTATTGATCTATATAGCTATATTGATCTATTAATTATTTATATATGTATTTTGCAATTCTTGCTAATTACTAGTAACTTTTTATTCCTTGTGTAACCTTAAATCTTTAGATTGACAAAATAAACAAATATCAATCTCAAATGTACCTTATACAGCGTATATACTTATTACGGAGTATATTTTTTCAAACCAATCACAAAAATGAAAATTTAAAATATATACCGTTTGTCTAGATTTGTTGTTGAGTTATACGGTAATATGGATATGAAAAAAAACTGTCAAATAAAATATTTAATTAAGGAACACAACTTTAAAAACATATTTTAACACTTTTATAGACAATCTATAATTCTAGTATATATGTAATGATCCATGGGGTTTACAGTCATAGTTATTGGTGTTTAGCTGGTCTCACGTTTGTTTCTCCTTTGATTGATGTAATAATCCTGAAACTACTTATGATATGAAAAGAGTCCAGTTTCGTTCAAAAAAATGTATTGTCGCCCGCATACTTTTTACCTCGACATATTATTACTCCGGGGGGTCTAGTTGTTGGGGTAATCAGGGCTGAAACTCAATGAATTGAGTTTCAAACTCTTATGTGCCTACACTACAAAAAAAATTGTTTTGTGCAACGGAAATTTTCATTGCCAAAGGTTGATAATTCGTTGCCCATTTCATTGGGCAACAAAATCAAATTCGTCACAAGGTCGTTGCCTAAGTATCGTGGCTCATTGTACTTTATGTGATGAATCAAATATTTGTTGCCCATAATAATGCTTGTGCATCAATTACTTTTGTTGCTCATAATAATGCTTGTGCATCAATTATTTTCGTTGTCCATAGTAATGCTTGTGCATCAATTACTTTTGTTGCTCATAATAATGCTTGTGCATCAATTATTTTCGTTGCTCCGAAATAAAATCCCTAGCCGACCGACATCTATGAGTCTACGGTCCTGGGATGACTATGGCTTTCAAGGACTCCGGCATGAATTCTGAGAGAACAAGCCTTCTAACCGGCCATGATAGTCTCCTTGGTGAAATGATGAATTTATGACTTATCAAGAAATGAAAACTATACGTGTGCATAAAGTTCATTCTATTTATTGAATTGCTCAACTGGGACTTAAATTAAACCTACCCTATTTTTATTTGATTTTTATTTCTTATTTATTTATTCTCATTTAATTAAAATTCATATCTAGGTATGGTTAATATATTTAGTCGCGTTAAAACTTCAAAGTGACATTTTTTCATATTCCGAAATTTTGGACACTAAAGATATGAAA